GTGTGTGTGTGTGTGTGTGTGTGTGTGTGTGTGTGTGTGTGTGTGTGGACGCTTGCCTGTGTGTGTATGTGTGTGTGCCAGACTCTGAGCTCGGTGCCGCAGTTGGTGGACATTGAGCCGTCGCCCGTCAGTGCCATGAGAATGACCCTAGCACAGGTAGTCTTAACTGCTGTTAGCATTCTTCATCTTCATTCCTCCCGACACAAACCACGGGTCATCTACTCCATTCACGTCTCTCTATTTGTGACATTGCCTCGAACGCTCATGTATTGCATAAGGAAAGCCTTGACCACAGAGCGACTTAACTCTAACCAATGACTATTTGCATACAGACACACTTATGCACACTTATTACGCTTAGCATTTAGTAAACTTCATGCTCATTCTGGCATATGCTGAGAAATCAAACACATTGTAAATAAATCCATTTCAGATTAATAGATTAGATGTTCTGTTGAAAACTGTTAATTGGGTTGTGTGTCCTCTAACTCGTTAAGTGTCTATCGGCCTGTTCACATGACACTATGGTTACTATTCATTACTATTTCCCTCAAAAGAGGCCCTAGACTGCTTCGGTATAAAGTTCTATGGTGGACAGTGAATTCTGCAATGACTTGCCGCTGATTGACTGCAGACATTTGTAATACATTAGGTCAACTATAATAACCGTTTACATCCCAACTATCGTTCCTGGCCAGCAGCTTGTTGGGGCCCATCCCTCTTCCTCAACAGAAAGGAGCCGTTACCGCATGTCTAGCCCGCATCAACACAAAGGCTTTTACTCATGGGCCCATGAGCACGTGAAGTATTAGTGCACAGAAGCACTCAGAGGGACCGTGACGGTTGCATGCTGCAGCACAGGCGTGGCTACAGTTACACCTATGACATCATGCCCATTGCTGGTGTAATGAATAAGAATAAACCTGAGCAATGTGCGCGAGGCTCCGGATTACCGGTTTTAGGTGGATGTTCAGTCACAACCAGCAGAACTATCAGAGCAGAGTAAAGAACAGCAGTGGTTTCAAATGTTTATTATAATTCTGCTGACTATTATGACTTTTCTGACCTACCCGTCCTACCCTATCTACCTGCCATTACCTTGTGGGTGCATTTGGTTCAATTATCAGACAAATAGTTAGTTAGTTACGCTTTATTTATTCAGGAAAACTCATTTTAGATCAAGATCTCTTTTGTAAGAAAGACCTGAGAACAAATTACGTATACACAAGAAGATGAATTCACTTAAAACAAGCATCACACTCACACACACTTAGCCATACGAATTAAAACTTTGCAAACATTATTAGAATGAAGCTTTAAAGTAACGACACTTTCTTACGTCAGGCTGTGTTGCAGTTAACTCCAGTAGTAAGATCCATAGTACTGTAAAACCGTTCGAGTTTGTATGAGGAATGTTTCCTATAGTCGGATGAGCTGCGTGCATACATGTTGCTCTTGCGTCATCTGAAATAGCACTACGCTATCATCGCCGTGTAGGCAAATGAGTCGAATGCTTGGTGTGTGTGATTTTATTTATTTGTAGTGTGTTATGAGTTCAAAAATATAGTCTTTGCAGGCAGAATGACCGTCTCTGTACTACTGTTTTGTTTTTGTTGTGTGTGTGTGTGTGTGTGTGTATATTTTCTTTTTTAGATTCTGTGTTAGCTCACCCTTACCAAACCACCGCACCAGAATCAAGCGTTAGATGGTTAGTGTTGTGCGAGTGAATTCCTTCTGAATAATAAGGACGTTTATTCTTTTAAGTGTCTGCATCTGTAAGCAGAAGCCTATAAAACAGAATGCTGGCTGCACAAGTGTTGCATATTAAATAATACTAAAACTAAACAAGAATGTAGACACCTTAATGTGTTTTCCTTTTGCAATCAATGCACATAAAAAGTGTAATCATAGCAATGTATTTGCATAAATCAGAAGGCAATGCTGTCTGGTTTCCCACTGCTCACATAGAAATACTGCTGCCTTGACTGTGATACAGGTGCTGTTCAACGTGATGCATTGAATTATATTATTATATGAGACTGCAGTATGTCTCAACCAGCTGTGCAACAGATCTTTTTTGTTTGTTTGAGAGAACAAACAAGTGTTAAATGATGCTTTAGAAAACAGAGTAGTAGCTTCTGACAGTGGTACAAACCTCATTAAGTTTAGAGCTTTCTTGGGGCATTTTTGCCTGACTGTCGTATAGACTTCCAACAAGTGTTTATTCTAAGGCGATGGCATAAAACAGCTGGAATCGAACTACAGACGGTTGCAACTACGTGACGTGTCTTAAACTAATGTTTCTCACTCCCACCATAAGGCCGAAGGTTCAGCCTTTTAAATATATATAGCCTTTTATTTATATATAGATATATAGATATATAGATAGATATATAGATAGATATATAGATATAGATATATAGATA